TTTTTTTTTTTTTAAAAAAAGGGAAGAAAGTGGCGCAAACCTTCCAGGCGTAGCCGATTGCTGTGTCCAATTGTGACTCATCCGGACGACGTGTCTCCTCTAGTCGCCCATCCAAGACTTGCCCTTTACTGGCGCCCACGCAGCACTTGACGCTTGCGACCACACTCAGCACAACCCACCCACAACAGCTCGCAGTACAAGCACGCCTCTGCGCCAATGAAATGTCTCACCGCACTGTGCGCAGGCCGTGGCCCGTTGAATTCGGACTCTCCGTCCGAGCGATATCAAGGGCAATTACTAAACCTTGGCTCGGCTCGGTTCGGCCGGCGCCATACATCTGTGAAAAATTTTTGCGGGCGACGGCGCGTGTTCTGTCGTCGTGGCATTGATGCTGAGCATGGAGTTGAGTTGGGCGGGGGTGATGTGTGGGGCTTATGAGTTGGGGGATGCGAGGTAGAAGGAGGAGGGGTTGGATGGCTGGTTGAATGGCTAGGTAGTGTGGGTCCTTTGGTGGTTGCCTTGGCCGCGCAGGGAAGAGCGGAGAAAGGGGTGGGGTCGGGAGTAGAAAGTTGAAAGAAGTGTGCTCCTGGTTTTTTTTCTGCGGATACCTAGGGTAGGGGAAGGGCTGAAGTATTGCTTGCTTGCAGAGTGCTCTTATGGTGGGGATGGAGAGGGACTCAAATGTTGTTTTGCAAGCAGGATTTGAGGACTGAGTAAAGGAGAGGAACGAGGATATAAGTCTGGAGCTCGAGGCAAAAACTGGAGACAGCAGTAAAGAGGAAGAGAAGGCAATACACTAGTAAAAAAAAAGTAAATCAAAGTAAACCAGGGCGCACAAATAAAAGCGAAACCAGAAAAAAAAAAACGTGGACCTAAAGTAAAAAAAGTAAAAGCAAATGAAAACCAGACTGGAACGCACCAGGCTCTCCGGTGCGGTCATGCGTTTTTGCACTAAACTCGCTGATCGCTATTAGCAGGAATGACCCCTATGCTGTAGCCTAACACTTGGGTCATATTGGCGTGCTTTGATCCTTTTCGGCATGAAGAAGGAAGGGCGTCAGTTGGAATGAAGGTGGTGCATTATAGAGCCGCACGGACATCCAGATGCATGATTACCGGTTTTTTGCATGAAGTTCGGCCGTTTTTTCGGTCAATGTTTGCTTTGTGAAAAAATGACAAATGCAAATTTTTGAAAAAATGCAAATTTGCAGTTCACTAAGAAGTGGAAGTATTGCTCGAGCAG